AAGATGTGATATTCTTTTGCTATTTGAGTTCACACACGCTGGTTTACTATTAAGTGGACTCCTGAAAACATCCCGTTCTCTCATCACTTAAGTGTAAGAAGAGTTGATGGTAATGAACGTTCTGCAGCGTTTTTTGTCTGAAGGTGAAGGTTAGATTTCAAAGAGCACATTAGTACTCCTGCTCCTCGCTCTCCATCCTTCCTGCTGTGCTCACTCTGAGAGGAGAGACTTCTCTTCTTTTAGTCATTCACAAGACTCCATTTACTTCCATTAATTTATAACAAATGAGTGAAGCTGTATGGATCCCTCAGAGTGAACATCAAGTATAAAAAAAGAAATAGTTTAAAGTGACTTCTGTCTCGTCTCACTGAGGGTATCTTTGGGGGGCAAACAGTATGAAAGCTTCACACAGACATGAGTGTGGAGGAGACAGAAAATGGAGAATGAGGGTGAGCAGGGTGACCAGAAGGGATGTCGCCTCCTCCTCCTCCCCTCCTCCCCCTCCTCTCCTCCTCCTCCTCCTCTCTCTTTGAACGGAGCTGAATAGAAGAACCTGACAGACAATACACAGCGGCCTTGGGGAGAACAAATTACTGCCAGACACTCCTCGAACACACAAAAACGGAAACACACAACCCTCGGTCATTCACTCAGCTCAGGTGGAGGCTGGAGAGATTTAGTGAAGCACTGGCCTTCAGATGTTGAAGAAGAGATTCTTCATGGAAACAAGAAAAGAAAAGATCTAAATCTTTATAACAAAGGTCCTTTTTAGATTTGAAGGAGATATTACAGTTTGTGTTTGAGGCTGAATCCACTGAAAACACAAATCTAATGCCTGCATCTAAAGACTGAACAGAGATGTTCTGTGTGTGTGTTCAGTCCCCACAGTTCAGCTCGGGCGGCAGCTACGACAGCGTGAAGATGGAGCTGGGTGCTGAGGACCTAACCATGGGGCGTCACGGCAGCCAGGTCGCCGCCGACGATGACGACGATGACCACGACGACCACGACGACAACGACAAGATTAACGACACGGAGGGCGTGGACCCCGAGAGACTAAAGGCCTTCAATGTGAGTCAGAGGACGGAGAGGGCAGAGGGTCGGGCTGATTGAAGAGTCTGAATGTACACTCAAAGTAACCTTCCTCCCTGCAGATGTTTGTGCGTCTGTTTGTGGACGAGAACCTGGATCGGATGGTTCCCATCTCCAAACAGCCCAAGGAGAAGATCCAGGCCATCATCGAGTCCTGCAGCAGACAGTTCCCGGAGTTCCAGGAACGCGCCCGCAAGCGCATCCGCACCTACCTCAAATCCTGCCGACGCATGAAGAAGAACGGCATGGAGGTACGGAGCGTCATGTTTCTTGATTTGTTTGTCATCAGGGATCTTTAACATACTCTGTGTTTTAAAGTAGGTCTTCTTCTCATGTTGAGTTCTATTATAGATTTCTCTTATTATTGTATCTTCCTACCTGCACTATCAAACCCCCTGCAGACGATCCAGAACGCAGCAGCACGACTCGTCTTCAACCTTCCTAAAAGAGCACATGTCACTCCGCTGGTCATCTCCTCACACTGGCTCCCAGTTACTGCTCGCATCAAATTTAAAACTCTGCTGCTCGCTTACAAAACAGACACAGAAACGTCTCCTCCTTACTTTAACTCTCTGATCCAGGTCTACACTCCCTCCCCCCCACTACGCTCTGCCAATGAAAGGCGTCTGATCCAACCTTCACAACAGGGTCCTAAGTCTCTGACTAGACTCTTCTCCTCTGTCGCCCCCCGGTGGTGGAATGAACTTCCAAACTCCATGTGATCTGCAGAGTCCCTCTACACCTTTAAGAAAAAGCTAAAGACCCAGCTCTTTCATGAATACCTACTAACTTAATGATGATGATTTTAGGATGGGTTCTGAAGCTGATTAGAACTCTCAAGAACAGCTGTGTTGTTGTGCTCTGCTTCGGGTCACTTCCTGTCAGCACCTCTGGTCACTTCCTGTCAGCACCTGTGTGTCCGATTAGACATAAAGCTGTTGTCTCCTCCTCTCTAGATTCTTGCTCGTGTCGTTCTTACTCTGATGTTTGTCACTTTGGATGAAAGCGTGTGATTAATGAAAGTATTATCAAAATGTTACATCAAATATCCTCTCGTACTTTGTAAAAACGTCTTTTTTAGTCCATCCCCCCCCAACCAGTTAGACTTCTATCTTTGTTTTCCCAGTCAATGTTTACATGATGATCATTCTAATCACATATTTTTAATTCATCCTAAACTGCATTTATTGCCGTAACAGAAAAGTAAACTCCAGACTCATTTCTTGGCTAAAAGTCGTGACAATCAGAGAATTTCTACATTTTTTAGTGTTTGATTAATTTAACATGTAAGGGCTCTCCAACTGTGATTTTAACCTCAGAAGTAAACCCCATTTTCTTATAAATATCAGATGTATTCCCCTCAGCTGTCGTTTGATCAAACAGAACCGGCTTCACATTTTCAGCAGCAGATGATAAAAAGTGCCCGTAGCTGTAGAAACAACACGCTGCAGTCAATCTATCAGAGTGTACAGACGAGACACAGTGCACAAAACATTCATTAGAAAACACTCATTTTGGGGCGCGCTGGTGGCCCAATGGTTAGGGCGCGCGTCCCATGTGTTGAGACTCTCGTCTCGAGCGGTAGGCCCGCGTTCACTTCCACCCGTGGTCCCTTTCCACATGTCATTCCCCGCTCTCTCTCTCTGGTTTCAGACTCTATCCACTGTCCTCTCTCTCTCTCTGGTTTCTGACTCTATCCACTGTCCTCTCTCTCTCTGGTTTCTGACTCTATCCACTGTCCTCTCTCTCTGGTTTCCGACTCTATCCACTGTCCTCTCTCTCTCTCTGGTTTCTGACTCTATCCACTGTCCTCTCTCTCTGGTTTCAGACTCTATCCACTGTCCTCTCTCTCTCTCTGGTTTCAGACTCTATCCACTGTCCTCTCTCTCTCTGGTTTCTGACTCTATCCACTGTCCTCTCTCTCTCTCTGGTTTCTGACTCTATCCACTGTCCTCTCTCTCTCTGGTTTCCGACTCTATCCACTGTCCTCTCTCTCTCTCTGGTTTCTGACTCTATCCACTGTCCTCTCTCTCTGGTTTCTGACTCTATCCACTGTCCTCTCTCTCTCTGGTTTCTGACTCTATCCACTGTCCTCTCTCTCTCTGGTTTCTGACTCTATCCACTGTCCTCTCTCTCTCTCCCTGGTTTCAGACTCTATCCACTGTCCTCTCTCTCTCTGGTTTCAGACTCTATCCACTGTCCTCTCTCTCTCTCTGGTTTCAGACTCTATCCACTGTCCTCTCTCTCTCTGGTTTCCGACTCTATCCACTGTCCTCTCTCTCTCTCTGGTTTCTGACTCTATCCACTGTCCTCTCTCTCTGGTTTCAGACTCTATCCACTGTCCTCTCTCTCTCTCTGGTTTCAGACTCTATCCACTGTCCTCTCTCTCTCTGGTTTCTGACTCTATCCACTGTCCTCTCTCTCTCTCTGGTTTCTGACTCTATCCACTGTCCTCTCTCTCTCTGGTTTCTGACTCTATCCACTGTCCTCTCTCTCTCTCTGGTTTCTGACTCTATCCACTGTCCTCTCTCTCTCTGGTTTCTGACTCTATCCACTGTCCTCTCTCTCTCCTGGTTTCAGACTCTATCCACTGTCCTCTCTCTCTCTGGTTTCTGACTCTATCCACTGTCCTATCTCTGCATTAAAGGCACAAAAAGCCCAAAATAAATCTTTAAAAAAAAAAAAGAAGAAAACACTCGTTTTAAACTGCAGACGGACACGTGTGTGCAGTTAGTGTGTTTTATAAACGTCACCAGGAAGCAGCAGGGTGCACGCTCTGACAGAGATCTGTAATGAAATATTTCATAGAAATAATCAAAGAATAATGAAGTTCTCTAACAGAGACCCTCATGCTGTCAGCATGGCAACACTCAGATGTGGAGACTCTACATGTAAATGCTTCTGTATCTTAAATACCCTCTCCATTCAGAGAGAAGTTAACGTGTCTGTGTGCTCATACAGATTATTATCCAGCTTGTAGTTCCGGTTCCTGGAACATAAGGCTCTGATTGTGAAGTATCTGCTGCCCTCCAGTGGTCAAACATGATGCTACACCCTGTGTTCATACTGTAGTCATCCAGATTCTAATATTCACATGGAGGGCTTAATAATAGAAGAAGCTCATTAACCCTTTCATTACTTTAGATCTTTGCAACCTAACAGGAACGACCTTTTAAGGAGTTTTCTATGGTGTCTGAAATCTTTCATTCGATCTGACAAACACATTTTCCTGCTGTGTAAAAGAGTTTTAAGTTGTCAGAAGACTAGAAAAGAACTATACAAGCTCAAGTCCATTTACTATTTATTTAGGTTGGATGGCTGTTTTCACTTTGTCTGTGTATCTTGTGTCCGTCCTGAACAGATCCTCTGTTTACAGGATGATCTCATGTCGTTTTAATCTCCCCACATCATCGTTTTGTTTTCTGCAGACTCGTCCTACTCCACCTCACCTCACCTCAGCCATGGCTGAGAACATCCTCGCCGCGGCCTGTGAGAGCGAATCACGCAACGCCGCAAAGAGGATGCGCCTCGAAGCTTACCACGTGAGTGTGAGTGTCATTTGATTGTGTGTGCAGCGTAATTCATGCAGACTGGGAGCGGAAATAAAACCAACATTACCTGATACTTTGATGAAGTCATTAGCATAAAAGCTTCACAGGCTGCCCTGTGAGAGAGCGTCTGAGCCAATCAGTTAAGAGCTGCTGATGAGAATGAGAGTCAGACATGTCTGGCTTGTTAACTGCAGACAGAAATGTTACCCAGTATGCATCAGTTCTCAAACTCTTCACTTACATCTGGATAAAATGATGGAAGAAAAAGAGATTTTAACCCAAACACCATGTTCTGCACACCTTCCTTTATGAAGAACTTTTATTTGCACCAGAAGCCGTCGTCGATGAAGAGACGAAGAGTTTGATGAAACATTTTCAGGAGCCCTAAACTGTGCATCAAATGTTTTGTTCTCTTTGGTTCAATAAAAAAAAAAAAAAAGAAATTAAACTTTTAAACCAAAACGTGCACACACACACTCACATAACAAGAAAGAGATACAAACAAGAGGGGAACTGTGGTACGATACAGATTTAGACAGATTTAGATTTAGATTTAGACAAAAACAAACAAACAAACAAACAAAACAAAAGGAAAAGGGTCAGTAAATAAAATGAATGAATTAGAAAGAAGGTCAAAATAAGTAAATGAGCAAACAGGACAAAGAAAAACATGGGGACAGTATAGTAACACAATGATGTAAAATACATGTAAGTACACTTTGGATGAAAGCGTCTGCTAAGTGAATTGTAGAACATGGTGACTTTTTGGTGTTTTTGTTTGTTTTTGTTTTTCACTTTGTATGGGTCCTAACAGGATGATTGCTAAATACAGACTGTGAGTAAATTATATTAAAATTGTTGTGCTAATTTCCTCTCTCCTCTTTGTTTACCTGCCTGGTTCTGCTGTGGCATCAACTCAATAAAAAAACTCTGACATGTCCGTCCTGAAGTTCTAAAAGTCTGCTCTGCATGTTGTTCTTTAGTCATTAAAGGGTTAATAACCGCTCACTGTCTTTTGCTTTGGTTCAGGATGAGATCTCTCTGGACAAGCCGTCCAGCGGCGGAGGAGGTCTGAGGGAGCCGGCGTCCCTCGCTCACTCCGCCTACTCCCTGGCCGCCTCAGCCTTCTCCTCCCAGGACAGCCAGCTCTACATCAACGGGGCTGGACTCAGCTACGGTTACCGTGGTTACCCGGGCCTGGGTGCTGCCATGCAACATCCCGTTTCCCTGACGACCGGCGCTGCCTCTCAGAGTAACGGTGAGGATGAGGAGGAGACGGAGACACGGGGCAAGATAGAGAGAGGAGGAGGAAGAAGAGTGTTTAGAAGAGGAGTCGGGGGGGGGAGGGATGAACGAGGGAGGGGAGAGAGGAGAGAGTGATAGAAAGAGACAGCATGAGTGGATAATTGGGGATGATTTCAGGGAAGAAGGAGGAGCAGCAGGAAGGAGCCTGAGCTGCAGACACACACACACACACACACTGTAGATCCAAAGGTTTAAACACAATCTTCAGTTATTACAGGATCTTTAAAATCTAAAAGAACTTTGACCCATCTGCTCAGCATCTACTAAACTCTCTTTAAGTTTCAGGATTAATTTGAAGCATGGCGGGCGATCAAGTAAAACAGCATCCATGCTCAGCTAACTTACCAAATCAAAGATGAAGAAAACGATTCTTCTTGATTAGCTTCATATAATCAGAGTGCAGCAGTGCACTGCTGGCTGCAGGTTTATGATTTCATTTCAGTTATTTCTTTATATGATTATGTATGAACACAAACATCATAGTGTCTGTTTGCTATTTCAGGGTTTTAATGTCACTCTGTTCCTGTCAAGAAAGACTCATAGGGCTTGTGGTTTAAGTTATTTAAAAGATGAAAAAAAAGGAACCGGGTCCCCCTGGTGGTGATATGGTGAACTACAGGTCAATGACACATGCTCTGCACAATCGCACCAAGACTAGAATCCATTCCTCCTTTATCTATAGCCTGCTGCTTTTCCTGATGGGGGTTGCATGGGGTGAGTCGTACATGATGTTGTGTTTTCTGTTATTTTGAGCTGACGGATCTTCCTCTCCTTTCTCTTCCTCAACCCTTTGGTTTATGTTTCCCTTCTCTTCCCTTCTTGTGCGTATTCATCGTCCATCCTCCATCGCCCCTCCCTCTTCTTCATCCGTCTCTCTCTCGCTCATCTCATCGCTGTTCCTCCCTCCTCTCTCTTCCTGTTCAGGGCCCACAGACCTCAGCATGAAATCCCTCGCCTCCGCCAACATCACTAACTCCTCCTCCTCCGCCTCCGCCAACAACAGCCTGGGCGGGCGGGGCAACGGGGGCGCAGGAGGGGGCGGGGCGTCGACCCAGCTCAGCCAACCGGAGATCACTGCCGTGCGCCAGCTGATCGCCGGCTACCGGGAGTCGGCCGCCTTCCTGCTGCGCTCAGCGGACGAGCTGGAGAATCTCATCCTTCAACAGAACTGAAGTCGGAGGAGAACACACACACACACACACACACACACACACACACACACACACACACACACACACACACACACACACACACACACACACACACACACGTCCCGTGTTTTGTGTCCTTATCGACCTGACCTCCTCGTGTTTTTTTTGCTCATCCCTCCTGGAAATCGTTGGCGTCTCTTCGTCTGCCTCTTTCTTTGGAATCTTTTTTGAGAAGAAGTGGGAAACTGGGATGAGGAAGGGTCCGTTCCCCCCAAAAAACAAACTCCCCCCCCCCCCCCCGTAATCATTCCCACTCAACCTCAGCCTGTTGATTCTCCCTCAGGAGGAGGTCGGAGAAAATGAACGGGGAAAAAAAAAAGGGAGCAGAGCGTTTTGGACTCATGAGGAATCTGTTCCTCTCCTCTCGGGAAGCCCCTCACAATCAGCTCTGCACTCTGAGCGCAGGAGGAGAGAGAGAGGAGGAGGGCGGGGCGGGCGAGGCAGAATTTTGAGTTTCCCTGCGGAGTTTTGATTGACGGGTCCCCTCGACCAACGCTGTCTTCTTCTGATCTTTAAAATCTATGATAAGTTAACGACTCCCTGATGAAGAACTACTGAAGATGTTTGTTTAATGATTCAAAACAGAATTTAATTTAATGTTTTTTTTCGCCGGGTGGAGGGTGGGGGTGGGGGTGGAGGGTGGGGGGGTTGTCCAGTGAGCGTTTTTAAGTTTTTTCTGTGTTTTTCACAAGTGACTGAAAGAAAGCGTTTTGACGTATCTTAAAAGACTGAAGCACTAAACCGGGTAAAGACGTCGACGGGCTGAAGGATGGAAACTAGAAGAGAACACATTTTTTTTGCTTATAAAAAAAAGGAAAAAGGAGGAGAAACTTTTTTTGTGCTCGCTTGTATATAAGCTCTCTGTGTCCTTTAGCACTTTCCCCTCCCCCCCCTCCCTCCTCCCGCCCCTTTTTACCCAGGGAGCAACTTGCTACTTATGCATCCAGGACGCCATGTTGACCACCAGGAAATACCTCAGACCAGACCTGCCAACGCCATCACACACACACACACACACACACACACACACACACACACACTCTGCAGAGTGAATGGTAACATTCCCACCAGAGGCCAGTTTACTTTACCACCTGATGTCTTCAAGGTTTCAGATTTCTTTTCTTTCGGGAGGCGGGGAGAATCAAACTTTTATTGCGCAAAAAGACGAGTGACGTCGTCGAAGCATTTCAAGAAACTTTTTCAAACACTGGAAACTTTTTTCTTCATCTGTGTGCTGCTGTATATAATCAGTTTGTGTTCAAAAACTTGAGAATAATCAGTTTGTTGAGGGTGTGTGTGTGTGTGTGTGTGTGTGTGTGTGTGTGTGTGTGTGTGTGTGTGTGTGTGTGTGTGTGTGTGTGTGTGTGTGTGTGTGTGTGTGTGTGTGTGTGTGTGTGTGTGTGTGGAGGGTTAAAGTTGATCACTAGAGGCAGTTTTACCTCCCGCTTCTATTTCTACAAATGTAGATTTAATGCCAACAAAACCTCAGCATCTTTCTGTTAAATGCCTCCCCTCTCCTCCTCCTCCTCTTCTTCTTCTCTTTCCTGTCATTGGACCTACTCTGCACCTCTTCTTCATGGACCTAATCCTCCTCCCGCTCCGTCTTACTGTGTGTGTGTCTGTTAAAAACTCTGAGATGGCCATTACTATTGTTCTTATTGTTCTTATTGTTCTTCTTCTTTATGGTTATTATAACGATGAACTCTCATGTCGCTGCTGCTATATGAAAACCGGACCTTCTGCCATAGACCTGAAACCTCAACAAAAAGCTGGGGCGTTAGCGAGTCGCTGTGCCCCCCGAGAAAAACCTGACCAACTGACCGACCGACCTCAAAAAAGCAAAAAAAACAAGTCAAAGACTGAAAACAGTCCTGCCTTCATCGTCTCTCCTCTCCCCTCTCCGGTTGGTTGGTTTTATTCCTTTTTTGCTTCATAGGGCTTAACTCATGTTTGTGACTTCTAACTGTGAATTCTCTCATTTTTTTATGTTCATCCTCTGGAGGGATGTGTGAGTGGAGCCGTCGAGTTCACACTCAAAACAAATCAGTCGAAAAAAAACACTGAAGATGTTTTTTGTTTACTTTTTTCAGAAACGTCTGCAAACAGCTGCAGACCCTCACAGTGAGAAATGTTCAGCCTTTTTGTTTTCACACACGTCGATTTAAAACCTCAAATGAAAAGTCGCCCGTCATGTAACGTTTGGATGTTTAGATCAGCTGCTCCACAGTCAGCCTTTTGCAGGGATTGGTTTGTTTTTGAACTCTGTGATGAATCCTGATTTCACTTCTTAGCAACGTGTCGCTAAGAGGAGGTGACTTATTTCATCCTCCTCAAGCTTTTCTTTCTTTCTAATGTTCTTCTCACTTTCACATGTTTGCTCCTTTTTTGCACACTGAGCGAAGCAACGGGTCATCTGTGATTTGAGGGAGGGGTGACCCAAACCCAACCCCCCACCCCCAACGTCACCCCTCCCTCTGACTTGCACTGCTTTAGTGAGAGAGAGAGAGAGAGAGAGAGAGAGAGAGGGGTGTGTTTTTTTGCAATGCAGTTGATAATCATCCCCGGGTCTGTCGATGGTTTGTGTCGGGTTACAGAGAACGTGTCACATCATTCATCCATCAGGACAGTTTCACTGATTTACGGCCGTTTCATTTATTATTTCTCAGAATGAGGAGCTCTGTTTGAAGTGTTCTGATCGCTGAACGACACAAGAGAAATATTCAAAAACAAAAAGGACAAAGGAGGAGAGGAGGAAGGGAGGAAGGAAAGGAAGGGAGGGGTGGAGGATGTCCTAAAAGTCTGACATGTTGGGGTACAACTTTAATCAAACACTCTCAGAGGAGAAGCCATGTTTGACCAGAGGTTGTGTTGAGTTTAAAGTTAAAGATCATTTATTTCCCTTTAAAGTGGAGAAGAAAATCTGCAGATTGCATCAGACCTTGTGAGACTGCACTTTGGTACGATCACATTTTTCTTCTAAAGTAACCCCGAGTCAAGCGTCCTTATTTCATTTATTTGTCTTAGTTTTTTACATTCCCAACAAGGAGACTTTTTAAGCCCCGCCCCCTCTCCTCCCGTTTGATCCTCACTGTGCTCTCTCGTGTTTCGATTGAGTCTGTCTGGTGTTTCAACGTCAGGGAGACTCTTCCTGGAATTGCCAGGTATGCTCAATCGATCTCAGAAAAACTCTTTAAGATAGTTTTCTGATCCACATCCTGCTCGGTCTGAGGGACCGGGGTCGTGTTCAGAAAAGAATCAGTTAATGAAAAGAGGTCAGCGCATCATTCTGTATCATTAGAGGTCATTTCTGTTTTTGAACCTTGACCTTTAACCTGTAAATGAGCTGCGGTAGACAGTCAGCTCCTGAGTCTCTGAAGAGCTCCATGTAAAACCAGTTTGTGTTTAAAAAAAAAAAAAAAGGGATCTTACTTTTTATCAAGATGCTCTTATTCTGAAAGGATCCTTTCTGTAATGTCTGAACACAACCTGAGCCACAAAGAGAACTTCTCTCTTTGGATGTTTTTCCATCCGGCACAGTTGTTCTGAAAGATTTGATCACAGTCGTTGAAGCAAATTTTCCAAAATGTTGTGGCTCTCATGTTGTGATAGTAGGGTCCTGGTTTGAAATGATCCCTCTCTGCTGATCACAGCTGCACACATGCTTTATCTCCTCCTTTGAAGAAGTCATGCATCCCACAAACCAATGAAAAAAAGGAGCAGAATCTGAGAGGTGCTGTGAGCAGAGAGTCTGGTCCCTCCGATCATCACAGGAAGGGGATTATTTTACCACTTCCTGTCAGACACTTCAAACAGCTGCTGCCATCCTACACAGTCAATGACGCGGGTTAAAGAAGGTGTGTTTATTATCTGCACATGAAGGAGATATCAAAAAGACAGGAAGAAAAAAGAACGAGAGTGAGAGTGAGACCTCTCAGTCCATTCTGTTTGTTTTTTATTGTTATATTTTCGCTCATAGTGTTCTAACGAGGTCGGTCAGCCGATTAAAAAAAAAAAGAGCTAAAAACACAACATGAGGCTCTCCATGCTGTGTACACGTCTCTCCTTTCACTCCTTTCTTTATAATCTCTCCAACTAAACCTCCTTTTTTCAAACAGCATGTGATTCTTTTTTGTTTTGTTTTAATGGGATGAAGTCATCTTAACAAACAAACAGCAGAACCAATGAGATCGTCTGAAAGGTCCAAAAAAACTATTTTTACAAAAAGTGCCCGAGTTCAAAACGACGTGATAATCAAGAAGCCTGCCGGGGGAGGAGCAAAGTGGGGGGCTTTGGTACTTTTCGGACGCTCTCATTGGTTCAATGTTAAAGACAGACAGCAACGGAACACAAAACAACAAAAACAACAACAGACGTGTTTAAAAAAAAAAAATTAAAAAAAAAGTAAATGACAATCTGTAGAAAGGTTTGATTTGCTGATTCTCTCCTCGTGTGTTCAGAGGGACGGACTAACCCGAGTGTTTAATCAGAGACTTTCTCCTCCTCCTCCTCCTCTCCTCCTCCTCTTCCTCCTCTCCTCTCCTCCTCCTCTCCTCCTCTCCTCCTCTCCTCTCCTCTCCTCCTCTCCTCTCCTCCTCCTCCTCTCCTCTCCTCCTCCTCTCCTCCTCTCCTCTCCTCCTCTCTTCCTCCTCTCCTCCTCTCCTTCTCTCCTCCTCCTCCTCTTCCTCCTCTCCTCCTCTCCTTCTCTCCTCCTCCTCTCCTCTCCTCCTCTCCTCCTCCTCTCCTTCTCTCCTCCTCCTCTCTCCTCCTTTCCTCCTCTCCTTCTCTCCTCCTCCTCCTCTCCTCCTCTCCTCCTCTCCTCTCCTCCTCTCCTCTCCTCTCCTCTCCTCCTCTCCTCCTCTCCTCCTCCTCCTCTCTTTGTTAACAAACAGCCGACATGTTTCTTTCTGATTTTTGAGGATCATCTTTACTCTGACTCTTCTTCACATTATGCTTTTATAGATTTATTTTCTACAACATTCCTCGTCCTTCACTCTTCTTAGTCTAAACTTTACATTCCTAACGTGAACGTCGGAGAGCAGAGGACCCGCTCGGCATCATGGGAACTCGTTCAGCTTCAGCGTTTGAATCTGAGCTATACGTCGACCTTTACTGTCACCGTTAACTCGGAGTGTCTCGTCTGTAAAATCTTGTTTTCAAAGGTCGTGTTTACACCCAGACGCAGCTGAACGGTTCTGATCGGGCATTGATCCGTCATCAGAGGGATTTAAGGTCATAACGCAGCTGTAACCTTTCTTACTCCACCACATTAAAGGTGTGACGACCTTCTACAGTGTGAGCTTCTCTTAAA